ACTTAAACTCTGTGCGACGCGCGTCCCCAGCACTCCGATGAACCCTGCCGGGGGCTGCTGGCTACAGCAAGTACCGTGCTGAGGTGCAGCCGAGAATCTCTTCGGTTTTCTTGCGCAGCACTTGTCGGATGTGCACAGCACTGCTGCTCAGCGTGGTGTCCTCACTGGCTGACAGTTTAGGTCAGCATACTGGGTTGAAAAGCACGGCCAGGAACATCAGCAACGAGCCCTCAAACCAACATGGTTGCGCAACTTCGTCTTGGTGTCCTCTGGCGGTGGCTCGTTGCCTGCATGGGTCCGGATACACTGTCATGCCCTAGCGCGGCATCCTGAACCCCTTCCCGAAATCCCAAGTCCCGCTGAGCAGTGGATCCCCATATGTCGGTACTGCCACGACCAGCTCAAACTGCAAGCAGCCACTATGGCACTATGAGAAACCCTGCCCCCCGGCCTGCAGCCACATGTGCATCTTGCAGGATGGCCTGCGCCTCATCCTTGCATGCGCCACCCAGCACCCAGCGTCTCATGCACGCACTCGTCCGAAAACCAAAACCCCACACAAAGCAGAAGGCAACCAACTTACGCCCTCTCAGATGTTACGTCTATCCTGCAATATTTCTTCCCAATCACGGGACTGCAGGGGCATACAAGCCAAGCTCCTCGAGTAAGCTGGAAATCCGAATGTCCGCACAACAACCCGCACAGGCCAACAGCCTAAATCAGGACTCGTTGAATGGCTTCGACATACAGGCATTGACATGCTTTGCCATCCACAGCCGAGAAGGGCCGCGAAAAGCCGAGTGGAGCCGAGAAGCATAGTCATCGAGCTTGGCTTTGGCCTCGAACCGCATTCGCTCAGATGCAAGGGCCGTTGAATGTTTGGTGTTGCCTTTCTTCGAAATCGTCACGAAGACATACTTTTGCACAGCGCCCTTTCACTGCAAATGTTCCTCTAAACGACTGAGCTCCCCTCCTCCACAGGTGGTTCCGCCGCTCGTGCGCGCCTGCATCTATGCCGTGGGCCGGACATGTTATATGATATGATATGTTATTCTAATGGATACTATGTCTAAATTGTATATATATATATATATACATATATATACATATATATTATGTGCATTCATTCGACGTGGCCATCTGCGGCCCTGGTGCTCTTTCTCCAGTTGAAGCTTCAGCTTTGCAACCTCGGCTCAGGCTGTTTGTAATGCGTCCTTCGAACTGTGGCAGAGCAAAAGAGCACATCATGTGGGAACCTGCTTTCGCAGCTCATCCATTTCCTCCGCATCGTCAAAAACACGGCTCTTCGCCTGACGACGCAAGACCGGCTAAATCACATCGGCGGATGTGGCCTTCCAACCTTCAGCCAACAATACGAAACCATACCCAGCTTCCGGGGTTAAATCGCTGGCCAATTCTTGCAGTTCTCACAAGCAGGTGTGTATTGAGACCTGCTGCTCCTTTGCACAGAGTGCTCAAGTGTTCATGGGCCAAGACCGGTTGGCCGAGCCACCAAATCCAAGTAAACAGGAGGCTGCCATGAGCCGCCAAGTTGCAGCACGCATAGTCGGTTTGGAGCTCGACCGCACATCATCTGCCAGCGAGTCACCTCATTCCACAGCAAGCATGCGGGGCACTGACCCCAAACTCCAGTGTCGCCTTTGAACCGCACAATTCCTTTTTTCCACCAAGAACCCAAGGGTATGCTCCATTGCCCCCCCCCCCCCCCCCCCCCCGTTCATTCAATCCAAGCGACTCCGCCGAAGCTGGGCCTCCAGAGAATCTCGGAGGTCCTGCACCTGTTAGGGCGGGAGGTCCTGCACCTGTTTCTTGCGCCTTTAGGGCTTTTGGAATAAAGGCCTTCAAGGCTACCTAAGGTACATACTCTGTGCTCATCTCCCCAACGGCCTCTCGTTGCAGTGTGGCAACTTCCTGCTCCGCCTTCTGCCTGGGCTGGCAGGCTGGAGACGGCCGCACACGATGCTGATGCTGCTCTTGTTCAAAATTGATCCCCCCCCCTCTCCCAAAGGCCCAAAAAAGGCAAGGTTCTCTTGAAGGAATCAATATTGACTCTCCCCCTTCAAAAAAGAAGCACCTTCCTGCGAATCGTTCAATCTTGAACCCCCCCTCCCAAAAGCCCAGGTTCTCTTGAAACAATTAATATTGACACCACCACCTCCCCCCCCCCCGCCCCGGCATCCACGATCTTATGGCCAGAGACAGGTGCATGTGCAAATGACTCCACTTGCAGCTCCTATCATTCTCCAGAACCCAGAGCTCATGTTGGCAAGCACTCAGGTATTGAGCGTTGAGCTCTGAAAAGCCTCAAGCACGACAACTTCCAGAAGCATGGAATGTCTCGCCATGCTCTGGGAAAACATACAAGAACTGCGAACTGTTACGAACTGCACTGTCTTGAGACCGGCTCTCCCCAGCTCCTGTGCCCTTACAGTGTTTCTCAATTCGAGGGCCGCTGCCGTAGCGCCCGCTCTTCCTCGAGCTCTGCGCCAGCCTCCCAAGTCCCGTCGAGTTTTCGGAACTAACAATTGGAATGGACAAGAACGGAGCCAATGATGTCCAACGGGCAAGGCAAAAGCTGGTTGGTCTTCTCTTCAGAGAGGTGGCATGGTTTTGACAAACTTTTGAAGCGGAGCTGGCGGTGCGGATACGCACCCACTCACGTCAGCACTGCTCAAAGCACAAACTGCTCAAGGTTAGAGCCCCGCATTAGAGGCAGCCCAAAACGGAAGTCAAAGGATCCTGGGCGAACAGCATCCCTCAACTTGGCCTGCATGAGTGCTTGCCGCAGGGCTTCCGTGTTCTTGCCAGACGCTTGGTGATGCACCGATGCCTCCTCCTGAGCACAAGAGTGTTCTTCAAAAAGCTCGAGCAACTTTGGGGAGGCTGAAGCAGTGGCTGAAGCCAGGGTGCAGGATTGTGGTCATCTGACTGCGGTTTCACCACGGTCTTGGCCCACTCAATCATTTCCTCCACGGCGGCACAAACACTCAATGCTTCGCACACAGCTCAAGATCCAGTTCTACAACGTGACTTGACCCCGCGACAACTGGTAGCCAGAATACAGAACCTTCAAGCTGAACTGTGGAACCCGAAGCAGCATGCCTGTTCGGGTATGCGGGTCCTTGTCCGCCAACTGGGCTAGGGAGTCGATCACGTTGTGGGATCCGTGTTTGCTGCACGCAAATCGAATGTAGTTGTCCCTGGCAGCTAAATCTTCGAGCAGGCCACAAGCCCTGCCTGGAACTACATGCTGCTCCCAGTCGCAAGCATGCTCTTCGAGAGTGCTGGACAATAGAATGCTAACTGCCTGGCAACTCAGCCGAATATGATCGAGCCAGGCCGCACGTTGTCATCATCTCGGCTACGGCTCAGGGCCTGGCTTTTGAACGGATGGCCCACGATGGCCCAGAATAAACGTGAGCAAGACGCCTGACCCTGACAGCCACGACATCAGTCACCAGTCACCGGAGCATGGATCTAGCCCGGACTTAACGTAGTGTTGCCACTGCAAGGTTGGCTTGGAGCAAACAAAACCCTTTGAAAGAAATACCCAAGCACGTCACGTGAGAGTTCAGCGGCCTCAGCAGTCTCTAGCTGCAGCTCCAGGTCTGCTATCCGCCTCTGGCCTGCAGCTTCAAGGCTGGCTTGTGGCTCTCATTGGGCTTTCCGACGTATGTTGCGTTCATGTTTGTCATGAACTGCTTGGCCGTGAGCACATGTCAGCACGTCTGGCAAGGCTCAATGGCTCGGTCCTTTGACTGAGTTTCGGGCATGGTCCCTTCTAGTGGCGCTGGGTGGAAAAGGACAGAGGTCGAAAATGGCATGAGGACGGAATGAGAATGAAAGGAATGGGAATGAGAACGGGTAGAGTGTCAATGGAAACTTGGGAGGAGTTGGGACTGGGAACCCCCCAAACTCGCTTCTCCAACCTTTGGTCGCTTACACGCGCCGCAGCTATTTTCCTCAGCCTGACCAAAGAAAAGAGAGTATCCAAATGCCGACCAGCCACAGAGCGTGAGCTTGTCCTGGTAGACTTTCACCTGCTCCGCACAGTCTCAATTCTGCAACGGATGATTTGTCTTGATCCGGGCAACAGGACAAGAAGCCACGTTGCGGCTAGCAAGACACTTGGCTGAGTGGTGGCGCGATTGGTTGCTGGGACACTCTTGCCACCGAAGAGCAGACAAAGTGATCTTGTCATTCAGTTGCTGCCGCAACTCCTCCGGCTTCTCAGGCCCTTTAATATTCTACCTAGCATTGTAGGCCCCCCCCCCCCCCGCAAATAAATCCGGGACTCTCTATAAAGAAATGTTTGCGGGAGCCCCCCAACAAACTTAGAGGGAGAGAACCTGGGCTGAACCCAGAACCCTTAAGCCCTGAAACCTTCACGGCCAAAAGGCCTGAAGCTGTCCGTAGCTTTTCTGGGCTGAAGCCACGGCGGCTGGGCTGAAGCCAAGGGCCTTAGAGCCTGAGGCCTTTGCTCACCTTGAGAGAGAGCTCTGTACATACCTGAGCTTTTTTTTCAACCAGCAGAGGGCAAAGGGGCCTCAGACTGCAGCTGACCAAGTCACAAAGATTCCCACCAAAAAAAGCTTGCAATTACAGCGCGCGCCCCAGACAAACCTACTAAAGCCAATTGGGCTGGCCCGCGGGCTACCTATCACGGAACTTGTTTGGGGCCTCACTTCGTAATGAAGCCCAAAAAGGTTTTTGATAGAGCTGGCCAGGCTTAGCTTTCTGGATTTTCCGGGCGGGTGCGCCTCAGACTGCAGCTGCCCCCTAATCCCAAAAAATTCCCCCCAAAGCGGGTGACCCCAACAAACTGGGTTCGCAGAAGAGTCCCGGGAAACTTGTGATTATGGCGGGAAGACATAAAACCGCTTGCCACACTCGCCGCTCCCACAACCTCCCGCAGACCGATACAAGCTGACTCCAACTCACTCTTACAAGGAACATACCCGAAACTCCAATTACCTCGCTCAAGTTTGAACCTCATCCTGTTTCCAAAAATGTCGTGTCATGCAAGAACCGCTATACTCGCTCTCAACGATCTTGATGTCTGGTTTGGCTGTCACCCCTGTCTCCTCCTCAAGATACTCTGTGGGATCAAAGAAGTATGCCTCGACTGGCTCGAAATCCTCATCACCCTCTTGATGCTTAATGTAGAGCTGGTTGCCTCGGCATGGATAGTGGCAGCAAGACATAGCGTAAGCAAGGTCCAGGAAAACAACCCGCACAATGCTTCGACATTCATCCAAGCTACGAAGATGCGTAATTTCAAGGAAGTAGGCATACCTTCACAGAGGCCAAGCGAAGGGCTTCTCCACGCAATGAGCATTGCGTTTGGAACACAGACACAGACAGTTTCGATTAAGGTGACACAAAAACATCTCACATGCCAGCACCACAGGGCCGAAATTTCGGGTTCATGACGGACACACGGAATCACAATCTGCATGCGGGGCACCGACAGTTGGAGAGCTGACGCGAACGATCCTTCAAGTGGTGCTCCAATGTCCTTATGGTCACCACGATTGCCAAACAACACGAGGATGGCAGCCCATGTGCTAGCCCACACAGTGCCCCGAACCTGCCGAATGTTGTGTCCCAATGCCGAACATGTCTGGTCCGGCTGACTTGCCCAGTCTGAAGCCAAAGAACGTCATCCTCTCTTGAAGAGCCTGAAACCAGGACGGCCACTAGCATGCACAGCTTCATCCATTCAGACTGGGCGCAGGTGCACTAGACTCGCCTCTCAAAGCTTTCACACCCGCACGCCAAAGGCATGGCCTGGTTGAACCTTTCCAGGCCTTTGGCTTTTATGACGTTCTCCTTGCCACGCAAGCATGAGGCGATGGAACGACACCGAAAACCACCTCTGACTCGCCGCACTTTCGCAGCCATAGTTTGGTCTGGTCAATACACAAGCTTACCACACCAGTGGGGCCAAGGACCCTGACAAAGAATGGAACAAGCCTCCGGGGGTGAGAGCTCCCAGAGTCTAAACCCAGCAAGCCGAGGATCCACGTGCACATTGGTCCAAACCTCTGCAGAGACGCGTCGCGCGTCGCGCGTCTGTAACATAGGACATGCAAAAAGCAAAGGAGGCGCTCTCAACTTATCTGCAGAGAGAGCCGGCGCAGTTTGGTCTATAATGTCGGCGGAGCTGTCAGATCACTGAGCCTCCGACTGCACCAAAAAGGCAACTCACGAGGCTCTGCAGGGCTTCATCCACCTGTCGCCGCAATGCAAGAAGAGTCATGCGTTCAGATATTTCAGCCTCCCAGCCTTGTCGATGCGAAGGTCAATCACGAAATGATCGTGCTGGGCGAAGGCCTTCGTGCAGGCAGCTTTTGATATGAACATATATATGAACGGATTTCCGACATTGACAGCGACGTCCGCAGAGAGCACGTTGACGCCGCGAAGCTGTAAAGCAGCAGCCTCCGCTGACACCGTTGACACCATTGATGCCGTGAGTTTGGGTGACGCCGTTGACGCCGTAAGTTTGGGTGACGCCGTTGACGCCGGCCATTGATGCGCCGTTGTCGCTGTTGACGCCGTTGACGCCACTGACACCGATCGCGCCATTGACGTTGTGAACCCGTTGAAGCCGTTGACGCTGTTCGTGTGTTCGCGCCTTCGCGCGGAAATTCACGTCTTCACGTCTTCACACCTTCGCGTCGGAAAGTCAGGTCTTCACCTCTTCACGTCTTCGCCCCAAACGTCACGGGATATTGGCGAATCGGTTCTGAGCGCTCGCACTTTGTAACCTAGCTTCAACAGCACGCGCACTGCTAAGACAGCTTGCGGGTGCTTGAGACAGATTGCTGCCCACCTCCAAGTCTTCGAACTGCATGGGATTCAACAACGGGAAGTGTGCCTGTATCGATCGTGGCAAGAGGTGCTTGTCAAGTGCGATGACGAGCATGTGTCCGCGAATCGATTTGAGCCTGCTGCAACTCCCTTCAAATCTCATGTTGGGACCGGCTGCCCAGTGCCTTCTGGCAGATTGCCTCTCCACGCTCCAACTGACCATTAACCTGCCGGAGGGTGTTGTTGAGGGTATCATGAGTGATGAGCCGCATAACAGTATAGCACATGAACCCGAAAATCCAGCACGTAAATCAGCACATTCAGCACTGGAGAGAAGGACATGCAAGAGGGGGGGAACCTTCTCCAAGCAGCCCTGAAGGATGGCTGTGATGGCGGCCTTCTGCTTCCGCAAAGCCTGACAGAGATGGGCTCGTTTCGAGTGGATATTTGAGTATATTTGAGTGGTAAACACTTGCTCTTCAGGGCGTCTCAGAGGTGTTTTAGCGGTCTCAGAGGTCTCAGAAGAGGTCTCAAGCAGACAGTGCTCTGGGGTGTGCGGAGCCCCAGTTTACGGTGGCCTCGGTCCCTTGGGCATCTGATGTGAAAGAATAGAAGAGACCAGCATGTGGCTACTTCTCTTTGTGGAACGTCGGACACGGTCAC